TCTCTCTCTCTCTCTCTCTCTCCTTCTCTCTCTCTCTCTCTCTCTCTATCTCTCTCTCTCTCTCTCTTTCTGTTTCTTGCTTTCTTCCTTTCTAGAAGTGTCCATGTTGAAAATGCTGTTCAGCACGAAATTTGTTCTCCGGGTTGTGGCCGAGTGGCGGCGAGCATGGTCAGTGGCTCCAGCACAGAGTCGCTCGGCAAAGGAACTTCCAGCCTGAAAGATGCAAGAAGGCACAAGAGCGTCTCTTTATGGATACTCAAGCACGGGGAAAGTGGCATCATTCATAGCAATGATGTTGATGGGATTCCTCTGTACACTGCTGCTGAGTGCTGGACATCCCAAATGGTCGCAATTGACTGCGCTGGTGTTTGCTGACTTGCAGCCAACTCCTTAAGTTGAAACACATGCGCTGTTTGACTCTTATGGGCTGCCCTTAAGACAAGCATCCATGGCGCCAGCCATCACATCGTTTACCTGGTCCAAAATTCACAACATAAAAGCAAAAGCTGCTGCCAATACGGGGAAGTACATATTTACATATATATATATATATGCAAGAATAAGAGTTGACAAAATGAATGTACTGTAAGGGTGCTCTATTAAAAGAGCCCTTACATATCCCCGTTAACATTCCAAGGAGACCTTGTGCAAAACATTTTGTAGATATAAATCTGCGGGCACAAAATTTGAGTCTATAGAAAGGGCGGGGTCAAGACACTCAGGCTCTATACATGTTCTCTCAACTGCCTTGCAGCTCCTTAACCATAGTGATTTTTACAAAATGCAGGGTGTCTAATTTAGTACCCACATAGGTTGTCTGCAAAAAATCGCCCGTATACGGGGCGTACGCCCACCCATTTCATAGAGGAACTGTCGACGGGGATCCTTACATTATGTTTTTCCTCATTGTTTTCTTTCTACTAATGACTTGGCCTGAACATCAGGTGTAAAGGCCCATGGACCAAGTTGAGTTGACCTGAGTCGCAGCTCTGTCGCCAAGTCCCAAACACATGCCAAATGAGGATGCCACGTGGTTGAACCAGTCAAAAGGGTCAAGACACCCCGAGAATTTGCAATGCCAGTAGCGACCTGCCATCCACAAATTCCAAAGCTTCCCACTGCTTTACAAAGGGCTGCAGCTTGGAAGGCCTCCTGCATAGGTGAATCTTGAAGTCCGACCAAGAAGTTGACCTTGCTAGTCCGAACGGCATCCCATGAAACATCGTCTTGACTCTCCTCGACTTCTCTCCTGGCCTCGCTACTTTCAATCATTCTCGAATAGATCTCACCAGCCTCATTCGGAGCATGTGAACCGAAAAAAGCACCGTGTGCAGCGAAGCTACCAACACCTAAGAAGAATACGAGGGCGGGATCTCCTTCGTCATCCTGCTTGCAGGCATGTTGCCACAAATTCAGCAAGGCGAGAGTGAGTGTCTCGTGAAAACAAAGACAGGCGCAAGCTTTGATACGAATCGTGTGTGTCTAGGACAATCTTGGTGTGCCCAGTCTGCTCTAAAAGTGTCGAGTCTGCCTCTATCTTCAGGCGAAGTCTGAGTGGCAGCTGCGACGGTCCATAGAATGGAGTGTACCTTCGTTCGTGATACTGCCGGTTGACTCCTTAAATCACTTGTCGAACAATTCCTGATTGGTATGGACAAGGCACTCTTGCAGTTTGGCAGCCAGGAGCTGCAGGCCCTGTAAAGAAGCACGTTCAGCCTCCAGCGTGGTGTGTTGAACCCACACTTCTGAACCCAACACACGAGGCCGCAGCAGGGCTTGGGGAAGCTGACAGTGAACCACCCAGCTGCACGTAGATTGCCAGACACCTCCGATTCTCACATTGCAGACTTGGCTAAGAAAAGGTGTGTGTTCCAACATAAACGGAGTGTCCAAGGATCAAACCCATCCGGCTTGAGAAGAGCATTGAGGCAAAACCTCAAAAAACGTGCAGCTGTGACAGAACACAACTGGCGAATAAGCATGAGGTCTGGACAAGCAAACCCATCTCATGAGTCCCTGGGAGGCGCTCAAAAGTACATTTACGACAATAGAACTGAATTGTAAGTCTCCAGCCGCATAGCAAATTGAGTCTAGCTGTCCATTGAACAAGCCGAAGTACGCAGTACCACCAAGTCTAATCGTTTGTGTTATTAGTTATGCTTGCTTTATGCAGCAAGTCTCAACTTCCATAGACAGCATGGAGGCATGGAATGTCAAAAGAATCAAAAAGGCTTCATGGAGTGTCAAGTCCATCGTGCGATTTCTTGCGGCCACTTTGCAAGAAGCAATCTAAAGCTTGTGACCATGGCATCCAAACTGAAAAAGCTGCGGCATGTTGAAGGCTCAAAGCAAATCCTTGCATCGGGAGGTACTCAGCAAAAAAGAGTCGATGCACCAAATCTCTTGACAATGCAGATTCTCCCGGTCACCCTGACCGTGTCACTTTCAGTTGATAGTTTGGGCAGTTCTCGCAACCTGGATGTAGTCCATATGCTGCGTGATGGTGGGAGGCCTTAGTAGCAGCGAGATTGTGGTGGTCCCACATCAAGGTGTCTTTGGCAAAGGTTCCTTTGTCGATGCCGCACTAGCTGAGTCTTGGAACATGATTTCGTGGAACTGCCTCAGCATTGAATGCTACAGTACAAAGCAAAGCTTGGCAATCAGTGCAAGCAACGCTCATGTAACGCATTTGCTCAAGACTTCAGCACGCTGAGGTTACACAAATGGGTTTCTCCGAATGGCTCAGGTGAAATTGTGACCATTTCTACCAACCAGACAGAAATCTCAACTATTCGCAAGGGAATCCGACTGTAAAGATCGCTTCAAGTGTATCAACTCTATGTCCCATGAACTTATACAGCATATGGCTGATCTCATCTAGGTGAAAATGGATTCTCTACCCACACCAGTATGGCCCAGAGCTTGAAAATAAGCGAAATTGGATCCCAGTGACAAGGCGGCAAATGGCGCACAGCGGCGAGCAAGAGCGGTGGCCCAGCTCGGACACGGTTTGCTGTAAGCCAAGCGCACAACACAAGGCACCAAGCCACAAGGCTCGTTCACTCAACCTGCTTGTTGCATAACCCACCCAAACAGTACAATGCACCACCCATTTGCTTCTCTTTTCCCTGGTCACGTCGGCGAGCTCAAGATCATGAGGGTGCTCCGATCGGTCCTAGGCTGTTCGGCGCAAATATGATGTCCAGCTCGTGCAGCAAAAGGCTGTGGGCGACGATCCAGCTCATAGCTACCTGCCAGCACTCTGCAGGTACAGGCCATCCTCAAGAAGCAAAGCAATATCGTCGATAGCGACAAGAAGGTTTCAAACTGGCACCAAATCGCGTGTCCTGCACCTCTTCTGCGGTTTCTGGCTGTCCAGGTCGACGATGTACTTCTAATTCCCTGTCACGACTTGCAATGGCTGTTTCTGATCTTCGGTCCAACCACCCTTCATCGAAGCTTGGCCGAAAAGAACACCCTTGTCGACTCCCCACATCTCACACAGCCTCTCCAACAAAGCGCGCTGCTTTTGCGGAAGTTGTTGGAGGGTACTTCTGATGTCCTGCAAAGTGGCAAGAACCCGCAAAAAAACAGTGCAATGTATATAATTATTGCAACCAGCAAAAACTAGGCAAACCATTTCTCCCGACAAAGACCCAGACCATCCCGACCTTAAGATTCTTTTGTACAAGCCGTCCCTGCGGCGTGTTGAGCGTTCCACTCCGTTGGTGCACCTGTGCAAGGCTGTGCAACGTCACACCCCGTTGAATCCAGGGGGTCATAGTCATTCGTTGAATCTGGTGCTTGGAGGCCATCGCGAGCAGGTTGGAGGCCATCGCTAATAGTAACTCAAAAGATCACAAATCTCGCAGGCATGCCTTCTGTGCAATCTCGTAGGCATGCTGGGCTCCGGCTATATCACCACTGTTGCGACGCATGTCCCCAATAACAACCACCTGGGTTGATGCGGCATCTGTTCGAGCGTGAACAAGAACAAAGCTAAGCTTCCAACATGTGTGAGTCGCAATTTCTCACTGATGTGTTCATTGTGCAAGAAAGCTCGCTCTGCCTGCAAATTACTTACAAGAAGCTGCTGAGCTACTGTGACATCAAAAACATAGGACCTGAATGCCAGGAGGACACCCAAGTCCCGCAAAAGTCAGATTGCAACAAGGAACATGAACTATCCCCCGACTCTGAATAAATGACATCGCGGATTGAAAGACCTGCCTCTTGAAAAGCTTCAAGGCCTCACTCAGAGTTGAAACATGAGACAAACGCTGGCTGTTTGAGTGATTTCTGAAACTGGATATATAAATACCAAACACGTGTCTTCAACGTCTGCAAATCATGCCTGGAACATCTGACTTGCTGGGTAGGCTTCATACATATTCAGCTTTTAGAGAAGTGTCAGCCTGTTCCACTACTTCATGTCACAATGTGTGTGTGTGTAACCCTTGGAGTCATAGGGATCCTTTTGGATTTTTCAGGTTTGCCTTTCCGTTTTGTTTCACAGCAGGGGGCTCTTGGAGCCTGCATGAGACGAGAGCCAACGAAGACTCTCATGCAGTGCTTGTGTAAACGTACCTGCTTGGTGCACCTGGGCGCATTATAAGCCGCAGCTGGTGGCCACCCTTCTTCCCTTTGTAAAGTGCTAGTGAGCTCCGCAGACTTGCACGTTACGCCGTCACCCCGTCGGTCCGTTCTTCGCCTTGAGCTTTTGGCCTTCTTTCCTCTTAAAGTCCTCCAGGTTCCCGTGGTTCGTACATGTACTCTTAGGAAATGGAACCCTAGTACACAATATCCTAAGTGTGTTTGGCCTTGTGCCAACCCGGGATGAGCCCGCAGAGTGCCTCCCGTGGACCCGTCGAACGGGTGTACGTCGTTATCTCCCCTGCCCGGAGATGTAGATGCCCAGAGCGGGCGAAGGTGGCCTAGGCCGTACGTACGATGATTTTTGTCTCATCTTTGGAATTCCAAGTTGGCCCATGCCTTCACGTGACCGCAGCGGTCAAAGCAGCCAGCCGTTTCGGCACGGCGTACGTGGCCGCAGCGGCCGAAGTTTGTTCAAGGTTCATTGGAACCTGTGGAGAACTTAGCCCCCTTCTCCCCCTGCCCTCCCCCCTTTCTTTCCTTGCTTTCTGGGGTTTTCCTGAATGTAATACTCAGGATCTCCCCTTTCCTCCTTTGGTGTGTCCCTGGACGATTGTTCGTAGCTGGGAACACCTTCCTTTCTCTCCTCTCCCTTTCTCTCCCTCTCTCTTTCTTTCCTTCTCTTTTTCCTCTCTTTACCCTCTTCCTTGGGCGTCCCTGGATGCTTTCGTCATAGCTGGGAGCCCTTCCTTTTTGGTGTGTCCTTGGACGCTTGTGCCGTAGCTGGGAACACCTTTGCTTCCTTCTCTCCATCCTTCTCTTTTCCTCCTCCCCTCCCCCCTCTTTCCTCGCGCGTGGCGTATTTACAAGCAAACTAGGCTTTTGCAACAGGTTTCTCAATGAGGTTTGGACTGTCATCGGTTTGCCCCCTTTCATTTGGTTCCCCTTTCATCCGCCCCCCACAGACCTTTTTTTTCCTTCTTTCCTTTCATGTCCTTCTGTCTTCATGTCTCTTCATCCTCATCCTCTTTCTCTTGCGCGCACTATCGTCCGGACCTTAGTTTGTACACATACACGCACGCGTACTCTACTTACAACGAGGTTCAGGTGGCCCAGGTTCGTTACAATGAGGTTTGGCTCATCGGTTGTCCCTCTTCACTTGGTTCCTTTTCATCGGCAACCACACACACCTTTGTCTGTCTTGTCCTTCTCATTTTCATCTGTCCCTTTTGCGTGCACATGTGCCTACCTCCTTTCCGGGCAGGATGGAGGTCACACATGCCTCCCTTCGGGGAGGCGTGTGTGTGTAACCCTTGGAATCATAGGGATCCTTTTGGATTTTTCAGGTTTGCCTTTCCGTTTTGTTTCACAGCAGGGGGCTCTCGGAGCCTGCATGAGACGAGAGCCAACGAAGACTCTCATGCAGTGCTTGTGTAAACGTACCTGCTTGGTGCACCTGGGCGCATTATAAGCCGCAGCTGGTGGCCACCCTTCTTCCCTTTGTAAAGTGCTAGTGAGCTCCGCAGACTTGCACGTTACGCCGTCACCCCGTCGGTCCGTTCTTCGCCTTGAGCTTTTGGCCTTCTTTCCTCTTAAAGTCCTCCAGGTTCTCGTGGTTCGTACATGTACTCTTAGGAAATGGAACCCTAGGCCGGCGTGTGGCACCGCATTCAGTTCAGTACACAATATCCTAAGTGTGTGTATGATTGCTCATGGACGCCACATGTCGTCTTCTGTCACCTGGCAGAAAACCTTCAAAGTCAAAAACACAAAACGCACAACCAAATTTGCAGCTCTGGTACTTCCATCCAAATCCCCCATCTCTTCTCTGGCCAGTGCTACTTCGTACCTACCGCATTTCCCGACAACAAAGCATGCTGATATGCATTGCTGCTTTTCGGACAATAAGCTGGTGTAGGTCTCTGTGTAGTTCTTGCTGGTGTTCCTGTAAATGTCGAGAGCCTCCCAGTAGCTGTCAAGCATGCTGAACCATACATCATATAATATAATAGAACAGAATATAATAAAATATTCTAGTATATTACCTTGTATGACATTGCATTATATTACTTTTTAAAATATTATACTATATATATATATATATGTTTTGAAAAAGGATAACAGGGATCGAAGAGTGGGAAGAGGACAACAGCTCTCTGGCCTTCTCAAATGATTCTTTCTCACCTCAGGAAGGCCGAGCCGAAACGTCTGGCGAAGGCGGTCAACAAGGATGCTACTAGGGGCTCCGGGCATCGCTACTAGGAGCAAGGGCCTTACTACTAGTAACAATGTTTGCTAGTAGAAACAAGAATTAACTAATTCTTGTTACTACTAGTAAGGCACTTGTTACTAGTAGCGATGCACTTGTTACTAGTAGAAACAATAAGTAAATCTCCAGATGGCCTTTTCGGTCTCCGCGCTGCCCAGCTGTCGCACCCACATTGTGCACCTCAAACGGTGTTTCTTGCGAGTTTCGGTCTGAGCACATCTGCACCAAGGAACAAGGATCGCATACAATGGATGTGCTTTCTTGTCAAGTGTAACGAAGATCTCTTCGGCCTGACGAAAGGTGATCCATCTATTCTGTCGGCTCAAACACTGAGTCAGACTATCCCTTTTGGCTCCTCTTCGTAGACATCCAGAACTTTCTCCATGTCCTGATCTCTAAACTGAAACACTCGCAATATCATGCGGCAACGAACTCATGTCATGAATAGAACAGTTTCTCCTGACTCGGCTGCTTGGAAAGAGACACGCCGATCTGCAGACAAAAGTCAGGCATTCAAGATCTTGGAAGAAATGATCGTGCAAGGGGATCTGTCACAAAACCATTCCAGATTCCAACCCGAAGAAGAAGCTCAGCGTGTCGGATGGTTTGCTCACATCGAGTGGTAAGGCACAGCCGCAGGGCAACCTCAGACGAAACAGGAGCAATGATCCAAATCGACACCTCACCACTCACCACTCGCAGCCCTCATACAATGTGTATATATATATATATATAGTTAGATACTAGATATGTATGTAAACATCGGCACCATCAACAGCTTGCTGGACCTTCCAGGTGGCCATCTCCAGCTCCACAGCCTGCAGACCGTGCGCGGCCTCAGCAGAAAGAAGACGGCCTCAACAACCTGTTCGGCGATGAACGACCTGCGGACCCTGCGAGGCCAATCTCTTTCAGCATCTCAGTTTGATCAGAGAGTTGAAGAAAGTGGTCCTGAAGGAAAACCGAGCTCGGAAGGTGGAGACAGGGATGATATAGTACTCAAGACAGTCTGAATCAGAGCATCGTTACTCCCATCCTCCCAAACAAAGGACTCCATGACAAAAGCCAGTTCCTGCAGGGAGACACCAAGCAAAATGCACGATTACTTTTGGGCCCCCGTCCTCATACACTTCAAGCTTCTGGCTGAGTGCCACAGGACTGCGAACAAAGAAAATCTACCAGGTCTCATGCCAACATGCAAAGGCAAACGCCTGGGATTTACCAAAGTCTTATTCTAGTTGTGGCGCCTAGATGTGTTGGAGTCCATGGCTGACCCGATGTCAGCAAGCAACTGAGGAGTGAGGCATGAACCGACTGTCATAGCCTGTTCCTGCACCTGAGGAGTCTCAAGACACAAGTAAGAATACAGTTTGCGGCATGTATTAACAGGATGATCTCTTCCACACGCTCACTTCGGCCTGCTTTGCCTGGTGGTATGCCAGCAAAGCAGAGCTATCCTGACATTTGACTATCAGCCCTCTATCTTTGAGAACAGTATCCAGGCGCTCCTCGTGTCTCCGGAAATGCCACTTGCCCAGTCTCCAAAGGAGCAGAGCGCTTGGTGATGGCCTTCAAAAGAATAATAAACATGGGAAAATGTGACATTCCCTGGAACCACCAGGGCTGACCACAGCTCAACCCTGCCAAGGGTTGGTCGATTTGTTTGAGCTGAGTTGCTCCAAATTGGCCCTCCTCTGCCTCAAGCAATAAAGGTTTTGCTCAGGTTTGCTCTGCTGATCTAATCTACTGTAACATTCAACAGCAGTCCAGAAAAGACTCATGACAAGGAAGCAAATGCCACAGCACGTGCCTTGAGCAACCAGTAAGCACTGCCACAAGTCCAAGCAACGCAAGTGCCGCCACAGTTCCCGAGGCTATTCTGCACATCTAAGATGTGTTCGGGATGAAACCTCCGGCGCCACAAGGTCGTGCAGGACTACCAACCTACATCTACGGAGAACCCCAGCCTGCTGAGTTTCCTTCATTGACGCAATCCAAGAAGACCAATCAGAAGACGCCACATGGCAGAGACACTTGTGCTTTGCTACGCATTGAACTATCAGCCATGGGTGCTTAGCTTTGCAAGGGCCTACTTGCAGCTACCAGGTGCAGCATCACAAAAGCAAGAAATAGATTGCTTGAAAGAAGACAGGTGCCGCCTGTGTCCTGCTCTTTAGGATCTTGAGATCAAATGAACACATTGAATCTGAGCCGGAAATAACTCACACTTCATTATACAGTTACGCATATTATAGTACTCACAGGAGAGTGCTCCAATTGGAAAGACTGAAACAAATGCATTTAAGCAACGCACAAGGCCCTTTCCGCTGGACGATAAGACGATAAGCTGCAGAGTGAGCCACTGAAGCAGCTAGTGTAGAGGGCCACCATTGAATACACTCTCAATCAAATCTCGGTTGACTGAAAAGTGCTTGAACTTAAACTTGGTTCCTTTGTCGCGCTGCACCTAACATTCCGAAAGGGAAACCTCTCGTGTTCCACAAGCGGTTTCTCTAAATGAAGCAGACCCTCTATCTCCGCACTCTGTTTCAAGAATAGCCAGCATCAACTGCTCAAGCAACAATCGCATAACTTCCAAGTTGCCGCAAGTCAGCATCAACTGGCAAATGTCCATCTCACCGGGATCGAAGCTTCTATGGCTATGGTTCCGTGATACCTATTTATATCGCAGAAAGCCTGACATACAGTACAGTGAGTGTTGTTTGATGTCTCTCCTTTGAATGAATCATTGTCATGTCTTTTTGCGAAAGCGTTCCATTCCCGGCCGCGTCACACGGCCATTCCAGAGTCTCCTGCGCAGCAACGTAGGACGGGATGGTCTTTGTGGAGTGGTTCTGCGTACCAAGATTGGCATTGCTATGCTCCTAAAAGCACAAGCGTCCAATGGCAGCCATCGTAGTAAGGTGCCTCCAAGGCAAGACCAAACAATCATCATGCTGCTAAGCTGGAACAAGTGAACACTGTGTCTGGCCTGCTCTCCCCGGACAGCCTGCTGCTCCTCCCCAAATCTACCTGTCAAACAAAGCACGTGCGCAAAAATCTAGACTTCTGCCCCCCTCATTGAACCCTGAGGGTGCGGCCGCTTTGATGGCTTCTTGATCTTGGCAGAGTGAAAAATCAGGCAAGTCACAAGAAGCACAAGAAAGAAACACAATCGACCGCTAGATTGCCCCTTGCTGCCAAGATTCCACAGCCTTTGGTTTTGCCTGGACTGAAAACGATGCAAAAATGGAAATCAAAAGTTCAACAACTGGAGTTCCCGTGGCGAAGCGAACGCACAGTGGGAAGGGCTATTTTCAGGGCATCAGGCAATCCTCTGCCGGCTGCACTGTCACCAACTGGATGGAGATCAGGTTCTCGATCGCTCCAAACTTCCTCTTTGGCGTTGTCGAACATCGTTTCCATGTGATTCGATCGGCCCAAGTGATCCGATTCACAAGGGGCGATCACGGCCAGAAGACGTTCTGCTCAAGGACCCAGAGATGCCCGACCGCGAGGGGGAACGAATTCGTCCGTCTCCCAGACCGGAAACATCGCTGCGTGCTCCACAGGATGTACTTCGCTGTCTCATCTCATCACTTCGCAAGACTTTTGGACCGCGAGATCCTCCAAAGGTGCCGAAGCCTCCATCTTCACCAATATGACTCAAAGGTGGTTGTCGACTTTGCGAAACAAGTCTTGCACGTTGAGATACGCTGGTAGAAACGGATGAGCACTTGTCACTCTCATCATTTACTTCTCTGCTATAAGCAAAACTACATCTGCAAACGGGGCACAAGCCCTCAACCCAGTATGGCATCAGGCATTCAATGAGAAATACATGATCACACTTTCGAGGCCTGACACGTACAGCTCCAGGCGGAATACTGTGTCCAGAAGCAGAGCAGGCATCAAACTTATCGCTGGTGAAAACCACCACATCACCCAGAGATTGCAACCGTCGCTTCAAAGCTTCGAGGGTTTCATCATCAAGAGGACCTAAAGAAGCAAATTGAGAAGCAGCTGCACAAGGAGATGGGACACTTCGCTGATGTGCGTGCGCCGAATGTGCGGAATGACCGTTTGCATTTTGAGAAAAAGGAATTGCACAGGGATTGGGAGATTGCTCTCGTTCCCCTCTTTCACCTCCTGTACCTGACATCTGAAGAAGCGAGTGAGAGATTGATTGCGCTCGGGAGAAAAGGTCTGATTGTGACTGTTGAAATTCCCTCACAAGCTTCTCAAGCTCCATGGTCTTTGAAACCACTTCGCGCTTCAAAGCTGTAGCATCTGAGACTTTCGAGGTGGTGTGGAGCTGCAACTGCGAAAGCTGCATCTGCAGCTGTCTGTTTTGTCCTGGGATAAGGAAACCAGAGGGTCAGTGACTTGAGAAGGAAGGGGTCAATGGTCTTTAAACTCTTGATTACAAGGGAACACACTAAAGAGCTGAAGGAGGATTGCCAACCTGACAACAAAAGAGGGGTAGGAACAAGAACGCTACTAGGGGCTCCTGGCATCGCTACCAACCAGGAGCAAGGACGCTACTAGGGGCTCCTGGCCTTACTACTAGCAACAAGAAGCTAATAGAAACAAAAAACTAGAACTAGTAGCGTCCTTGCTCCTAGTAGCGATGCCAGGAGCCTAGTAGCGTTCTTGCTCCTAGTAGAATTGCCCTTTGTTCCTAGCAGCTTCTTGCTCCTACAAAGTCAAGCTTCCTTCGACTCCTCGCAGCTGCTCGGAAAGGTCCGACACGCGACTTTGCCGACGTCGTTGTTCATCGCGAATTTGCTCACGAAGAGAATCGGCTTCCCGCTGCAGGCGTTCCATGTCCAACGTCCTCAGGCGTTCCATGCAGCCCACAACCACAGCAACCCTGAGTTGTTCGTTCCATGAAAACTCTAAAAACCCCGCAAACACAGGGGAACCAAGTCCTGCTCCGGATCTCTTCATGCAAGCGCCGCGTCTCTTGCTCTAACAGGTGCTGGCTTTCCTCACATGGGTGTGCCTGGCTTGGCGACCTGGAGAGCGCCTCCGGTCGATATCCACTGGGCAACATCAGGTCACCGATCTCATCAGAACTAAGGGGCGCATTGCAGCACCAAGGTGCTGTGTTGTGCTGCTTCCACTTGGGCAAATGCTCACACAAATGAAAGAATCCAAATCACACAAAAATGGCTCACCTTGCAAGACGGAAAAAGAAGCTGACCAAATGTGCATCGTAGATCGTACGGCAAAATGTCGAAGCAAACCTGAGGGGCTGGACCTTGGCCTTGGCTTTGGACTTCGGCTTTGGGGTTGCCTGCAGTTGTAGTTGGTCAATTTTCGAGCTTTAGGCTTGAGAAAATGGGTGTCCAAATGCTTCCAAACTGGAAACTCGCCTTGCCGGCTTTCGCCTTTGCCTTCGCCTTGGCCTTGGCTTTTGCCTTCGCTTTCGGTGAAGCCTGATGAGGCAAACCGAAGAGGCTAGTGGCATCAAGTAGATGTAGCTGAGGCATCGAATCCAATTCTCATATATAATCATCTCTTGTGTTGTCTTTTCCACCTTCGCCTTTGCTTTCGCTTTGGCTTTGGCAGCCCCTTTAGCTTTGGCAGCCGGCTTCGCCTGCAAGCACAGCTGGTCTGGTCACTCAGGTCATGGTGTGGTATAGTGCCAGAACCTTCACTACGTCTTCAGCTCCGTCATTGTCTTCCTGTCAGCTCGCCAGCTCCATCCATTGGAAGGCAAAATGTTACTGCAAGCCCATGCTGAATGCCTCCTGTAAGGCTGACTCGATGAGCATCTCCTTCACCTGCTCAGGAGTCAGGTGTTCCTGAGCAGGAATGCAAGATTTGAGAAGAGCCAGGCGTGATCATGAAGCATGCAGTTAAGCCACTAAATCACCATCTTCATACTTGATTCGATATAGCCCTCGGCAACACAAAACTGTGACCAACTCTGCCGGGGAATGCCCTCGACAAATTCATGTTCCAAGTTCGAACTGGCAGTGTGCAACAAACACTACTGTGCTGCAAAGACACTTTCCTTGGTGATCTTCCCCTGTTCGATCTCTTCAACATGCCCAAAATACTCTTTGCCATTCACTTCTCGCCGGATCTGAGCATGTCGGAGGGGGTCAACCTTCACAAAGGTGGAGCCAAGTGCTGGAAAAAGAAACACGTCACAAACATGACATACGTCACGGAAAGCAGGGAGAACCAGCGGTTGAGAATTTGCAATACAAACAAAAAATGGTGCCTCCTTCTCTGCCGGTGGAATGTCTTCGAGCTCTTCATTCAAGTCCCCACCCTGACCAGTCGGCACTAGTTGTAAAAGAACATATCGGCACAATCTACCTGGAGAAAGCATCATGTATCAATGAAAGTCAGGTCCAAAGGACACGAAGACCGCAAACAGACACAATGAAAGAGCAACTGTCAAGCAGGCAAAAGAACAACGGATAGAATATTTCGTGCAGTGTCCGGAGTATGTTCGAAAGACTTTACTGAGATTGGCAGGACCTCGTTGACATAATATACACAATATAAGTGATATATATATATATGTATAGTACTTGAATACACACCACAGTACCTACATGCAAAATAGCAAACGTGCTACTCCAATAAAATAGCAAACGTGCTACTCCAACAAAAACAACCTTAAGTGACTGGATTTTTTGGCGTTTGTGTCAAGCCGAACGATTGATGTGTCTCGTGATGGTACTTTTGGTTTCTTCTGCAATCTCCCACAAGAGCCTGCTCCTGGGGATCCATGATGACCTCAGCCCAAATTGAAACTCAGCAGGGTACCAAACAATATTCAATCAAAAATCAAAAGCTTTTACCAAATCACCGTATAACCACCAAAGTCTACGAAAAGGCATTCGGATAGGAATGCAATAGCAAACTGAGCACGAACGAAGTGCACCCTGAAAACGGACATTGAGCCATGATCTCATGGTGGGACACGACATTGGCGGCGTCTCGCTGAGCAGTTTCTACTTGACATGACTGTACATCTTACTGTACATGCTGTTACATGCTAGGGTCCTCAAATGAAGACTCCCCCTCCCCGTTACGGGGGTGACGGGCGCCTTTAACAAAATAATAGTGCAATCACTAGCTTTTGCAAATCGGTGCGTATGCCAAAGAAGCAGGACAAGGTATCCCCATGCAGAGGTGTTGGATTTGACGTCATGCTGATCTCCTCCATAATCCTCATCAACAAATTGGCTCTAGATCTCCTCTTCAGCCACTTCTTGCTCTTCCTTCCTCCTCCTCGCCCTCTGACGCGCAGCTGCAAAGCTGTCGTCCTCAGGCTCACCGTCGTCGCCTGGACCTGGGTCTGCGTCTGAGGCGGCAGTCTCAGGGGCTGGTTTGACGAAGTCGTCCACATCTGCATTCTGAGGGGCGTCTGCCTTGATCCGCGACGGAGTCAGCAGCTTCGCGGGCTCTGGCTGGTGGGCTTGGTCAGGTTGAAGTCTGCCCGAAGGTATTCAGTCCTAGCTGAGCGGTCGAATAGACGGCTTCCAGCTTGCAGAGTACGTGGCTATGGGAACGTGCGGGGGAAGCGGCTAGACTTGTTGCGTTGTCTGTGGAGGATGGCAACAAAGCACCTCATTCTGGAAGAATCGCCGCCCAAGATTCGTCCGATAATGACTCCGTCGTCTTTCGTGTCTACCACCTGTCCGAGAAATGGACGATGTACGGCGTGCTGCCACAGACTTAATAACCGGAAGGTCCAGGTGACGCCGGTGAGACGGTATGTCAACGAAGCCAGGCGCGAGGTGATGAAATCATGCCTTTGAGCGTAGACTTTGTCTGTCTCCAAACTGGTCTTTCTGTCCACCTCTTTGGCGGCGTTTTGGACGAACTTCCCCCTCGTGAACGGCCTCCGCACTAGGCACGGTGCTCCGCGGCTCCGCCTCCTCCTCCGCCCCAACCTCTGCAGCCACCACCTCGTCCAAATCCATGGTCGTGAACCCAAGCGGCTTCATTGCCGTCGAAGGCAATATCTGAGTTTTGGGGTGGACTGATGGGAGCGAACGTGTTGGGATTTTCGAAGTGCTCCACTGGAGGGGGAGTGGACTGAAATTCCGAAGAGAGTCGGCGACTATTTACTCCTCTTCAGGCTCTTGCTTTGGCTGCAAAGGTAAACTGAGCACGTGGTGGGGCGGGGACTTTACGAGTGGCACTGGCACCCAAGTTCTTAGTCCCTGTATGGTCGGATGCGAAATGCACCAACGAAGTGCACCCTCAAACGGGACACGGATGCACGAATGCGCGCCGTTCGATGTCACGGTCGGACAGGACGTTTGTGATGTCTCGGTGAACCGTTTCTACTTGACATGACTGTACATGCTACATGCTGGTATGTGCTAGGGGCCCTCAAATGTTCACTGAAAACCCTCTTGTTGAAAAAAATGCTCAAAAGCCGGAACTTGCAGCTCAGGAACAAAAACTCAAGCAGCGAGGTCTCTAAAATGTGAAGCTCTTAAGCCATCAAGCGAGCTGCGGCAAAGAAAGTGTCACAACTCATTTCAGGCGGGCAAAACAACTCGCTAGGTAGCTCAATCATACCATAAACAACCTCCTACAAACAGCAACGGATTAGAGCCCCCTAAATTCAAAAAAAAACATAAACCCAGCTGACAACCCCAGTAGCAAAGCATGCACCAAGATCTGGCGAATATTTGGGGTGTGCGTTGTTCGATGACACCGCGTGCTTTCCTCCATCAAACACTCCTTTCTAGTCGGCGACGTGGCAAGTGGCCTGGGGGTGTCAACCTCAGGAGGGCGGTAGCCACTTTCACACACAGGCTGAGGTTTGTAGTCCGTGTGCAAAGTAGAGTGAAGACGCTTGGCTTGCTTCTGCCACCCCGGTCCAGAAGAACTCCATTCGACTCTCTTTCCCGCTCCCAGTATCTCTTGCTCCCTTATCACGTCACACAAGTGCTTCGCACCAGCGCAATGCCGATGCTGTTCATAATACTGCATAGGATTCTACAGTCCACTCTCAGCTCGTCTTGTTGCCTGAATGACGGCAATGGTTTCAATAAATTCCGGTTCAAACCGAGAAAGGGTTCTGGGAAGCCATCCAAAAACATGTGGGTTGCATTTTTCAAATCCTGTCCAAATCCATCTCACCAGTGTTCAACCAATCACTCCGCAAAAAGCATTCCAATGTTCAAGACAGACATCTTCGACAATTTCTGAGAGCTACACTCGTCTGCCAGACCTTAGACAGCGACCGGACAAGAAGGAGTTGGTAGTTGCAAAATAGGTATAAGTATCAATACTCACACACTGCTACTTGGTTAGGAGCCAAGAAGAATGAAAAAAAACGCAGCAAAACTAGACCAACATGGCGGCTTCAATCAAGGGCTATCATGGATTGTTGAGGCCGATAGGTCTTCTGTGGGTTTTGTCTTTCATGCTCTAACAAACAATAAAACCATTATTTTGAGCATACCAAATAATAGACTTGAGCCTCAGGTCTTCTGAGAAGCAGGGGAAGAAAGAAGCACCTTCAACATGGCCATCCAACCGTCGCGCTTTTGATGCAACTCTCTTCAGCTGGGTGCCCCAAGCAGGAGTGCTGTAGGGATTGCCATCAGCCACTGGTGGCACTGCCACCGTCTGATCCACTGCAACTGGGGGCGGCGCCATGCTGTAGTTCACGTTGACCTGAAACAAAGAGATGAATCAAAGCATGTGCATTTCTTTCAGAGATGAAGCTAAAATCACATCACGTGCAAAGAAGTCTAAGCACCTAAGCACCGGAAACATCTTGACCATTTCACTGATGTCTCTAGGATGCCAAAACTACTTCACCTAAACTTGGAAATGGAGCTTGGCAGATTGAACACACGCAAGATACCCTTGCGTTGCTGACACCACACGACTTGAAGTCTACAGTAAGTCCTCAGCCAGATTTGTTGATGATAATCTACTCATTGGAAAACTGGGTTGTAGAGTCCGGCAACTCTTCAGTCTTCTGCAAAGCTGTTCCAAGTGAGTTTCATCTTCTCAAGTCCCAGCATTAAATCACGTTGAGATGTCAATGAATTTTCTTGTTTGTGAAACATCAATGCCACATGGTCACGCCAATTTGTCACGGCTAAAGTTCTCACAATGATTGCTAATAGATTCCTCCCAAGACACGGTCTCAAGCTTCGGTGGCGGATCGGCAGACCTGACCAATGTCATAATAGAAACCGCAGTCATCCAAGAGAACCACACAACCGTCATATGACCCATGTCGCTCCGCAACTTCGTCGCTTCAAAGCTAGGAACCAAGACTCCCAAGTTGCCTACCCATTCTTCACAGGACCCGTAGAGGGAAATTTCCGAGTTACGGAAAGAAGCTTGGAGAGTTGGCGAGAGAGGTAGAAGTGTGAGTTCACATATGCATATGACTTTGAAAGTTAAACCAGCTAACAACCACAATAGCAAAGCATTCACCAAGATCTGGCGCATCTTTTCTGCGTGCGTTGTTCGTTGCGATGCTCTTTCACAAATCAAAAATCAAGGACAGTTTTAAGAAAAAAACACAAAAAATTAACTGCAATACAATAGTTTATACACAAAATCACAAAAACAATTCAATATCCAAGCTAAATGTAAGACCACGAAGCACTTAAGAAACGTTCGCCAATGGCCGAATTGTATGTTCAAGTGTTCAAGTGTCTGCGTGGCGTATACGTCTGAAGAACCATGTTCTTCTCTGCACAACAAACGATTGGCACCAAGGAGGGGTGTGTACAGTATAAATTAAATAGTCTTTATTTTTCTTATCACGTATGCGTGCAACTAGTGCAAGTTTGATTCGGACAAAAAGTGAAAAGAATAGATTTTTTTATGGATGATGACGAGATATTTTCACCATTTTTCCAAGCCGAAGGCAAATGCCTGTGACCGTTCAAATGAATTACGAATTAAAAAGCAGGGTCCAACCTCGCAGCCCGACAACAGTCCGGCCCCATAGTCCCCTTTCGTGCACCTGACACAATATCGGCACATCACCAGCAAAAGCACTCCCAATCACCATCACATGTGGTCGCGGCAAGACCATGAAAACTGGTGGCGGGTCAACCGGGACAATGTTGAGCTCTTGCCATGGGCGGCAATGTTGCCAGAGGCTCTCACACTGTTCCTCAGCCCTACTCGGTCGATCAAAACTACAAATAGCCGAGTACTGCTGCGCCATGACATCAGCACGGCAATGCACCCAAAAAGTTGCTGCTCCTTGGGCAACGTTCCATCCCCGTAGATACAGAGTCAGAGGAGTGGGGAGGGTAGTGGCCCCTTGCATCATACTTGTCAGATCCCCTAACCGGACCTCTTGGGCAGTTTCGTCACACGAAGTATCTCTACCATGGTCTCGGAATAGGAACTTGAAACTTGTCGCATGCGGTTCTTCGACGACATCGAAAAGGTTCCATTCTTTCGAACCTTCGTACTGCGTCAAAACACATCGATATCGCAGAGGACCACAAAGATGCAAGAGGTCAAGTCTTCGGGCCACTTCTCGGACTGTATCTCCTACAGACACACGGACAGCAGTTCTTCGTGGAAGTCCTTGGAAGAGGATATCAATCAAGAAAATTCTCTCCTGGGCAGCCTGCTGTCGTCGAGTCAAACCAACAAGGTGGAGTGATGAAACCTTCAAACTCAAAGGCGGCATTTCAGGGTGTACCAACGCAATCATGAATGGGCTCTCTTCATGAAAATCGGCCCATTCCAGAAGGAAAGCCCGTGTGAAAGGTTGATCCTTTACATAGGCACAATTTCGAGCAGTGAGCATGATTTCACCCGTACCCATCCAGGTCGTAATGGAATGGACAGGAAAACGATGGAGTGGCCGGAGAGTCATGAGGTAGACCGTAAGAGGATCATCATCAAAGCCTGCCATAGGATCGACAAGGACTTGCCCATTACGTGGCCAGAGGACATGCCTATCCAGCTCGAGCCTCGTATGCAAATCCAAGTCTTCACTCGCAAAAGCTTCTGCCCATGGGAGTTGCATGCCTAGAAATTCGTCACCCTCATGCGTCCCATAGCTCCGTCGGGATGACGTTCTTGGTCCGGCAGGGAGTGTATCTAAACAGGCATCTTGCTCTTCATAGAGCAGCGCAAAGCTGGATCCGTGGACTTCATCGACAATGTCACCAACGGCCCAGACAGGGTTCAGACCTCCTCGGTCCTGAAAAAGGAAACATCGTCTGGTTCTGCAACGTTCACTGTACCCAATTCGCCGCACAAGATCATCCACAGTCTCTGTTCCACTGCAGAGAAGGGCAATTGTACTCGGAATGGGGTCTGGCCAACCTGTGATCAGGTAGACCCATACCCCAATCGCAATTTGGAAATCGGTGCACCGAGATCATTGAAAACCATCTCATCTCGCAACTTGATCGCCCCTGAGAGTTCCTGAGCAAAACCAATCTCTTCACCGTTGGTAATATCATGCCAAGCATCGAGAAGGCATCTGGTCAGGGACAAATCTTGTGCAGGAGTGCAAAACCGCGGAACATATCCAAGTTGATGCACATAAGTGACAACCCAAGACTGAACCGATCGATGCAGCATCCATGAGCGTCCAGTTGCTTTGTAAACATACTCGGCCAGCGTATCTTCATAGTGCAGGATAGCATAGCTGGCAATAACTCCATTTCCAAGAGGCCACAAAAAAATCAGTGAGAGGTCCCTCGAGAGTTGCAGTGTTTTCTCTCAGAAACAAAGAACTCTGCATCAGTGTGGTCAGCTCATCATTAATCAGAACCTCTTGTCCAGCAGAATGTCCAGTTCGAAAGGAATCCTCTGAGGCAGTATCACTGTAGGCACCATCATGATTCGAACTACAAGTCGAATCACTGGCATCATCATGCGGATCAGTCTCATGGAGTGTGATGAACGCCCCTCGAAACAGCGGAACAATCTCCCCCCATTCATAAATCTGAACACCATTAGCCGTAACCATGTGCACAGTACATTCTGTCAGCCAAACGCATTGGTTCATTGGGATGGCTTGTACAAAAATACCGTGAACATCGGGATAGCCAAGGAAGTAGAACAGAAACGTAGCTCGAAAATTTTCTGTGTCAGACACATAATCAAGCAAAGCCGGATAGATTGCGCTGACTTGGAATGTCGTCAGGATGAACTGTGGGCGCCTTTCCCCCAGGCTTGGTGGGACAGGGTTGACCGGGTAAACAAAGCATTGTCTGCGGGCCCGCAGGTAGCTCATGGTTATACGCCTCGAACTTGAAGCGACGGCTAAGGCTATTACGAGCGTCAAGCGGATGGAACCACACTAGAATTCGAGTATTTCGGTGATTCGGCACAGATAACCTAATATATCGGCCAATAACATCTTCAACCGGTGGACCAACCTGCATCAAAATCGAGTGGTCATCGTCGGCTTCTTTAGTCTCAAGTCCTTGGCACCTTGTACTTCTGAATGGTAGTAAGTCCCCATGACGAATGGGACACTTCGTATTGCCTTGGGTCCACCAGCCAACTGCATACTCGCCGATTGATCCGCGAATCATGTGACAGAAGCGCTCTCTATTGGACAGCGTCACTCCGCATGCTTGGTAGGCTGTTGCAGCGACCGGTGTTGTTCCATCGGTGCATTGTGTTCTGATCAGGACTGCTCGAAGGGGAAACAGCTGTCTTCTCCAGATCACAAAATGCTTGATTGGATGAGCAAGCAAGAAATCAAAGCTTGGCGGCTGTGGTCGAACCGTGACAAAATCACAGATGTTATCACATTCATCCTGCCAAAGCATATTGAAATCTTCTCGAAAAATGGTGAGATCGTTCCCATAGTACTGCTTCTGTCGCGCCTCCTGTCTGCAAGATGGGTATCCGGCAAACCAAACATTCGCAGTCCAGTGACTGCCTTCATCAGAGGACAGTGAAAAAGAAGCACCCGGGAAGGATCTAATCACATTCAGGCTGATTCGATTCGGTAGCAAATCTCCACTCGGCTGACGAGGCACTAGATTGTCAGGGCCTGTCACAAAATGTGGGCAAAAGTCATGCACAGCACTCAGAGCGGTATGGTATCCACTCGATGCACAGGAAGCAGCAGAAATGTCACACACATGCTCTTGTGGCAAGAGGGTCCTCTCAAAACCGAGGTCACCTTGGATCAAAATCGGACAAGACATACCATCTTCCTGGAGGCCTGAAGAAGCAGAACTGGCACTGCAGGAGCAAATGTCATCAACCTCAGGCATGGGCTGCGACCAATTCGGGGCGTCAACACTGCTTTCATCAGCCAAACTATCAAAGTTTGCCCTTCGTGCTTCAGAAAGAACGCCAACAGCCTCAGCAGAGGCTAGATTGATAAGCAGTAAAACTGCCATCGTCTTCCTAGTTGTCCAGGTTTTGCATCGTCTCTGGTCAACTCTATTGCCTGCTCGAAGCCGGCATTTGAATCGAAATCTTGGTCTGTATTCTTCGTGCAATCGCAGGAATGAACAGACTTCAAGAGAGAAATAGACACTTGCCATGAAATAAAAGTAGCCCTGGAGGATCTGCACACCTCCAATAGCTTGCTGGTAAGCCAGATCATCTTCCGCAAGCTCCAAAAGACACAGCGATCCCAAGCAGCAAATCCTAAGGAATGTTTTGCAAAGTCTCCCCGAGTCTAAGGGCGGCCAGAAGTACAATCTTCGAATTGGTCGCTTCCTTTGAAGGAAGGTTCGACAGGCTGTCACAAACTCATCAGCACAAAATGCGCTGGAAACGGCAACCGCCAAGACACAACTGAGCACCAGGCACTGCAAAACCAAAGGAAAATAGCGGCTGGCCCTTACACAGGACCAGCTACTGGCCTTGCTGTAGTGCCCACTGGAATGGAGGCACCCCAATCCAGAAAAGGCCGAAATGAAGCAAACAGGATTCCACCCCATCGGAATCTCCACTTCTTTCTCCATCAACTCACCACGTCCAGAACCAGGGTTGGCAACAAATGGTCCACCCCAAGTGTCAGGCTTATATCTCTCAGACAAGACTTTCTGACCCAAAGAAAACCCGTCCTCCACAAAAACTAAATGATTACTGACTCCATCCAAGGCACCACTCGGATATTCAGCAATCAAATGGTTCGGCTCCTCGACACAGGGAAATCTGCAGCCTTGAAAAACGGCGCAAGATCTCCCAAAGAAGTCATAGTTCACGACATACGCTCCATAGCAGGAATCCTCCCGCCATCTGGCGTCATTACAGCTGGTGGATTGCCTAGTCCCGGAGGGCTGTATGGCCCATCTCCCAACTTTTTGTTTTTCACCTGTGACTTTCCAAAAGGCTGGAGCACCGGATGAGCCTGGATTGGTAGATGCTCCATCCCTGACCGTCCGCCCCGGGACTCTTCCATCTCTTTGCTCAATTCCACTTCGACACAAGCATTGAGCATCTGAGTATGGGTGGCAACAATCATGTTGGAGACAGCCTCCCACGTCACATATGCATCTGGGTCTTGATGGATGGTCTGAAGCACTGCCATTTGGCATTCTTCGGGATACCTGGCCAGTTCGGTCTTGAGCTGCTGCGACTCGTAGTCCGGAGCGATCTTTGGTTGCTTGGCCGCTCGACGCTCTGCATCCGGGGTGCGTGAGCGCTCTCGGCCATCTTCCTGCTTGACCTTGGTCAGACTCCTGCCTTCGGTCTTTTCTTCCTGAAGGACTATGCCAAGCGTCTTTCTGCGGCTCTTCACGTCCTGGTCCGGCGAAGTCACAGTAGGAGGCGTTGTCAGGGTCGATCCCTGGATAGCACTCACCAAACCCATCATCTGGGCTTGCAATTGCTCCATCATCTGAGTCTGTCTCTGCTCCTGCTGCATGGTATAGGCAACAACATCTTGCATTTCTGACCTCAAACCAGTCAGTTCTTGCTGCAGTCGTCGATTCTCTACACGCAGCTCTGCATCTTCGCTCTCTCCTGCTCCCTCCGAGTCGACAGGAATGGGTTCGATTCCATCCCGTTGTCTCTCTAAGGACTTGATCTCCGCACTGATCTCCGCAAGCTCGCTGGAATGCCTTTTCTCTTCTTTGCGGATGCCTGACTCGATGGTCTCTTTCCAAGACTGGAAGCTCTTGGACTTCTTTTCCATCGTGTCTTTGGCTTTGTCGAGCTTGTTGATCTTCTTCCGCTCTTCGTTCAACTCCTTTTGTCGGAGCCGAATGCTCTCTCTGGGGTCTATCTGCACTAACTCTTTGACCGAGTCCGGGATCTTGGCCTTCTCCTCGTCGGTGGGGGCAACTTTCTCCAGCATGTATCTCATTGCATCTTTCAACCGTCGGTTCTCTGCCTGCATCTGTGCCTCTTGCGAGGTAGATTGCGAAGATGCCCAAGAGGAGCCAGATTGCTCGTCGACCTCCACTGCTTTCCCATCGTAGCCGACCAAAAAGACATTCTCTTTTCCTTTGGCCTTGGGATCTTTTACTTCCTCTTTCTTCCGATTGCCTTTCTTTTGCGGCTTCTCCCAGTCGTACCAGTATGCCTCCTTCTTCCATGACATCTGTCTGGCAATCGAAGGCACTGAGTAGACAGGTCTTGTATGATGCCGTTCAAGGACTTGGATTGCACGGAGAGTCCGTGCCCTGAGAGCCGCAGAGACCTGAGACCTGGCCTTGGCTTTCCAGATCACCCTCCGCAGCTTCGCCCGTTTCGCTCTGGCCCGACGATGCCACGTCGGACTGCCAGCAACTATGGCTTCGGCGCGATCGATCGACCCTGAAAAAAGACAGGGTCTGGGGCCACGAAAATTTCCAGCTTAAACTGGCTAGCTCGAGCCCTATATTTTCACCAAACCAAACAGAAAATGCAATTAAATCTATTTGAAATTTGAAAGGTGCAATGAACGCAGCTGTCACAAAGACCATACTTTAAGGGAAGGTACACCTTTAGGCACACAAGCGCATTGTTTTTGCAAAAGCACGCAAACCAAGCGAATGCTGACAAGCAAAGAGGACGCTTGTCGTACACGAACGATGCAGGAAACGCAGCGTCAAGCAAGCAGATGTTTATTGCACCTCGAAAACAATTGTCCACCAACACCAAATTGAAATGCAGTCGCAAAATTTAGGCACAAAGTTGCAATCAAGTCCAATATCCAAGCCGAATGCGTGTGCCGGTGACCACGAAGCACTTAAGGAACGTTCGCCCCTGCCCAAATCGTCTGTTCAAGTGCGTGTGCAAAGTCCATACATCTAAAGAACATAATCAATACAACTAAAACATGACCGAGACACCACCACAAAAACATGACCCCTAAACATCACCAAGACACCGCAGAAACATGAACGAGCTACCACGTAATTATGACCGAGACACCACCTAAACATGACCGAGACACCACCTAATCTATTGGGAACAAAAATGCCAGAAGTGCTATGATCTTCTGAAGATTGTGCACACTTCAAGGAATGTGTGCATGCATGTCCAGAGGGACAAAGCTACCTCTACGACTTTCCAGTTGCAAAGGGGACTGCAACGGGGATTGAATTGGCACTGTCATGGCTCAAAGCTAAGCTAGCTCACCTCCCAAACAGCTCACACATGCAAAGCTGCGAGCGGCCAATTTAAGTTATCACTTGTGCGTGCAGAGCACAAAATCGAATGCTCCAACTACGCTGCGTCCACCACATTACAAGTGACCCCACATCACATCACCACATGTCACACCACCACAGTGCATTTCACCACAGCACAAATCACCACAACAGTTACTCTATATTTGCTTCCAAAGCTTCTACCAACATGCTTGGAGCTCCCTCTACAACATTCCATTCTCGCGTTCGCCACATGCAGCGCCTCGTCATGAAAGCGAACCTATTTCAATCTGCTTGGAATCTGAGGCTGCAGGCAAGCCAGCTTGTTTATATCCTGCTACTTATTATAGGAACTAATGATAACGTGGAAGACTCTGTTATTTCTTGCCTTGAGATGCTCACAGCCCCAGGTGCCCCTTCGGCCTAATGAGATAAGTCTCGGAACCCTTCTTCCGCTGCAAAGTCGCATCCAGCTGTGCAGCGCTGCTGGTCCTCAGCACTCCACAAGTGGATTGGAGAAGCTGAGCAGCCGAGCAGCTGGCATTGATGCCATTGACCATTTGATATCATTTCACCGCAATGATGTGAGAAGCCCCTTACAAAGCAACCATTATTCAAATTGCATAAGCAACATTGGTAGTTGTTCATTCATCGCAACCAAAATCGCTACCAAAAGGTGTTCGAGCATCTGCAGCAGGAGGCAGAGAAGCAAGGCCCTGACAAAAAACAGTTTGCTCTCGCTTGTTCACTGTCACACGAAATCATTTCTCACAACAGTGAACAAGAAAGCAAATCAATATCAGTCTGGAAGTCGCTGAGATGACAATCATCCCTTTCATTCAAATACCCAAACTGAAAAGGAAATGGGGAACAAATCGCCTGTGGATTTAGCGTTGACGACAACAAACAGTGGACGCCACCACTAACATTGGCCAGTGTACACGGCCCGAGGCCAAAACAAAATTGGGGCTTACCCAAGGACACAAGGAACAATTTGCCATAACATTTAGATTAATTTAGATTGGCAAAGCCCGAAAAAAAAGAACGGAAAACCACAGAGAATGCTGAGAAAACCACAAATCGATTATGGATCAACAAACTCCCGAGTGATCCAACATTGCAGGAATTCTGACAAGCAAATTCTGCAGCCACATGTCTTCTGTTTCCATTGCACATCTGTGATTTGATGGCGGAACTATTAGACTTTCCATCAAAACTAGAAACAAAGTTAGAAAGTTAAAATTGTGCAAATAATTTGTTGTCGGCCTGGAGGGCGCCATGAGGCACGTCTGACCTGCAGCAAAAATGGGTCACCAAAAACAACAGTCAAAATCAATGAGGTGCACCTGTGACACAAATTCAACGAACACAAACTTGACAAGAGTGTTGTTTGAAGCTTGTGTGTCCACCTTTGCCCATGCGCATCGCAATAGCTTTGACAGTCCGAAACATTGAGTTTGGCGATGCATCAGTTTTTTTTCTGACTCCACCATGGTTCAACGAATCCGTTCACTCCGTTCGCCTCGCTTGGTCACACTGTTCGGTACCGGAGGATTCCTGAAGCCCAACAGGCACGAGCCACCCAATTCGACAAAATGGCACACCTCGGCCTGCAATAATCAAAAAGTAGCCACACAAGATGAAACCCACGAACACGATGTAACCCACATGCACACACGCGCTCGAAAACAAACGGCCAAACATTGATTGACACTCTTGTGGGGCACTCTTGTAAGAGACTCTTGCAGGCGGCGCTCTTGTGGGACACTCTTGTAGGACATTCTTGTGCTCTTGTGGGACAGACAATCTTGTAGGACATTCACTTTTGTGGGACACTCTTGTAGGGGACGCTCTCGTGGAAACCTCTTGTGGAACACTCTTGCGGGACACTCTTGTGGGACACACTCTTGTAAGATGCTCTTGTGGATAACTCTGGCAGTGCGACGCTCTTGCGGCACCCTCTTGTAAGACACTCTTGCGGAGAACTTTTGCGCACACTTTTGTAGGACACTCTTGTGAAGCATTCTCGTAGGACACTCCGCAGCGGACACTCTTATTAGACGTTTTTGTTTCATCCAAACTTCACGCGTCAAGTCTCCAAAACAAGTGTTTCGGACGAGACTTCCACTCACGTGTCAAAACGCAAATCCCACTCTTGCAGCAACATCCAACACTTCCAACAAACCAACCTGTGAACGCCAATCCCACCGTCACAGCGAAGGAAAACTGAGGATTTCGCAAAACTCTGCACATGCGCAACAAAAGCATGTTCCACACACACTCCGACATGTTACGTTTCCATACGTTTCCATGCTATGGCACTCGATCACTCCAGTCGGTATTGTTTCTGCATTATTTTTGTTTTTGTGTCCCTGATAGTGTTGATTGCATTTGTTTTGTGAAGCTTGGGTGGTGCGTGTGTGTTCTTCTGTAAGTTCAATTTGAAATTCCACTTGCCAATAAAACCATCAAAATTTGATCCTGTTTCCTGATCAAGAACCTTTGTGCATTGTGACCCGCTTTTTGTGTATGTCAAGTCACTGTAAATTTTCTATTGCCACTTGATCATGTAAACACTCCTGCTGTTCCACCCTTCGCTGCGCAAACACCCAACCTTGCAGTCAAGGTGTCATGTCATAGTGCATTTTTGTGGCAAACTTTGTTGCATCTGGATGTGAAGCTGCTGGTGGCCCCCCCGGCGCACCATGGAATGCACAGCATCAGCCTTCATAGCACAAAAGGAAATATTGGAACTATTTTTCTTGATACTCAAAAGGCTGCCGTATGGTGAGAGAATGACAGCATTGCTGTGCAATCACACTAGGGAACGGGGTTCCTTCAGGTTGCTCCTTCTGGGTCGACCTCATCTGGCAGCTAAGTTCCTTTTTGCTAAGTAGTTTGCTGCATGTGTTTCTGAAATCATATCATAGTTGATTTTGCGCGTAGAATATCTGCATTGATGGCTGCACAATACCTTGCCTACCTTGGGTGATTGCCTCCTGGGCTGCTACTTGGTAGCTATAGAGGGCATGCATAGCCACTTGCTCTGCTGCAAGTCCTAAATCGGTAGCTGCGGTGCCAGCTTGCTCAATTTCTGCGTGCTCGGTAGCCAAATCAATCTCTGCAGTGGTTACCTCCTGCTCCTGTGCTCCAAAGGGGCTGTAGGATGGAGTGGCCGGGTCACTACTGACTGGTGTCCCCTGCATAGGATCTGGTCCTCCAGCGTGGCAGGCCGTTGGGCTTCCTCTGGGATGCTGCCCAGGGGCTGCACTGGTCCTTGTCCAACTGACTGCCGGAGCTTCTTTGCCTGAAATCTCCATGACCCTACTTTGGCTACTGGCCGCCTTTTGATCGGAGACTCAGAGATTGGATGAGGAGTCGTCATCATTGATGTCTACCCCACAAGGTGGGAGGGCAGTGCACTCCTCTTCACATTCCGGTGCCAGCGAGTCTGATGCTTTCAACACTTGGGAAGAGGAGGGGCGATTGCTGAGGCTTTCACCCTCTACCTCGTAGTCAGTAGCGTCATCGTCTAACCGACACAATATCGCTCGCTTCCCCCGATGCCATGGTGACATCCGTTGCCTCTGATGAGGGCAACGTGGCGACTGGGTGATCAGCCTCTTACTTCCGTTTCCGCATCTGACACTGCAAGCACCTCGGTGCCAGACTGTTGGCTGGGCCAGTAGCACCCTTGAATCAATAGACCTGCCGCCGGTGGTAGGGCAAGGTCCAAGCCAGGTGCATCCAACACTGGTTCCTGCCGCCACACATCATAAAAATAGCTTTTGCGCAGCGCCTCAAAACAGTAGGCTTGCGCCTTTCTGTCCTGTTCTGCCCTTGACTGGGGCTGATACCTTTTGGAGCATCCTACACTGCACCGTCGGCCTGGATCCTTGCTCTTGTGGAGCAGCCACCACTTTTCTGGCTGCCGACCATCCGGAACGACAATCCATTCCGGGGTGGGACTCGCATCGAGAGCCTTGCGCTGTGGCCAGGGAGATGAGGACCGTCCTGCAGGTAGGCAGCTTCAGCAGTTAGCAGGTCGGACTTTGTCGCTAGGACGAGGCGTAAGCGTCTCACCCTTCCCTCATGATGCTCTGCCAAGCAGACTGGGAGCGGGCCGACCCACAGCTCATGTGGCAGCAGAGCCGCCTGGAAGGCTGCAGTGGCTTCACTAACTGGGATTGCGTCCACCTTCAGGGCACCGAAAGCAGTAAGAGTAAGCTTGAGGGTGTCACTTCTATGTATGGTTTGCACTCCATGCAGGACAGCAAGCACTTGCAAGGCTCCTGGCATGCCTTGCATGTTGACCGGACACGCGAGGATCGTAAGATCTGTGGCGCGGCTATAGGCAACATTCGCTCGCGTGAAACATTCCTTATCGAAGTCCGCATTCAGCCCATTCCCACTTAGGAAAGAAGTCCGTCCATGGATGACCGGCTACTTTGACTGCAGTTTCGGCATTTGCTTGCTTGCCTGTGGCATGAAAGTAGTTTTGGAGGTTCGTGGCACTGGTGCGAGTGGTTGTAAGGGCCAACACAGCATCGCTACCCGCCTCTGCACATTGCAACTCTTCTTCAAGATGTTGATAAACCAGGACAGTTGGATTGTTCTGCGGGTCATGTAGTGCTTCATCACTCTGAGATTCGTGGCGCCAGTTGACAAACCGGAGGCCTGTAGCTACACAGTGATCTGCACGAATGGAGGCAGTGCCAATTTGCCATGTATCATGCATTCGGCTACACAACATTGGATACTGAATACCGATGAGGGGTTCATATACCTCCTGTGAGACCCGTGCGCTGGTTGGCAGCATAATGCTCCAGCGGTGCTGCCCGGCAACCCCCGATCGGCTGCGCTTTGTGCTTGGTGGAAGTCCAGAGGACTATCTGGGTTCGTGGCTGCATAGCCCAGGCCTATCAAAAGCCCTTCAGGCAGCTCCAGGTCAACTTGTCGGAATAACATAAGGCCAAATGCTAAAGGCTTGCCATAGCTTGCCATTAGGATCCTGTGGGGATTGCTCGAACCCTCGAGAGTGGCCGATGGCCAGGCTGTGTATCTCATACAAACAAGTGAATCGATATGTCCGCACAGCCCTCTGGAGGCGGGTCGCTGAGAAAGGGCTGCAAGGTACCTACTTTGGGCGCATCCCGAATGAAGTGCACCAAGACCTTATAGGGGACCTGCTACTCATTAGCAATGCACTAGCCGCGCCGCTCGCGCAGCTGTTTGCCTTCGTGGAGCAGGGCCACCCGCCGTGCGCTTTCATCCCAAAAGAGCACTTAGCCCTATATGCGAATCCCCTGTTTTGGCAATACGGTCTCCTTGCATTCGTCTCAGGGTGCTGTGCCTCCAACATTGACCTGCTCAAACGAGCAACAGAGGCTAAAACGGATCCCGCCAAACAGGATACTAATGAGAGTGAAGTTGAAGCGCTCACATTTATGCAAACTGTCATCATGTCCTTCGTGAGAGGAATGACCCATGGACAGCAATCTCCCAGTTCAGGTACTCCCTGCCCTCGTGCAGTCAATTATTGACCATCAGTTTCAACCAGCAGAGCTGAAAAGCGGCTGGGGATACCGCACTAGTAAGGGAGGAGCGGAAGACAACCCTTTCCTGGTAGCAGGTGCCTACCGGAAAGAGATGACATACAATAACGATCCACAAATGCCCGATACGCCGTGGACGGAAAGGGCCTATGCATCGAGGGCACTCGAAACGTCACTGGGTCAGTCTATGTCATTCCCATCTTTGCCCCAGCTAAAACTTTGTTTGGAAGTCCCTCTCTGGACTGATCTTAGCGAGGCCAGGTATCCCCCACCACACACTCACTCTGGAGAGTCAGACGCTGATTCAAGCATCACAGGCACAAGGGAACCTTCGCCTATGTATGCGCAACCAGTGCCAGTGGGAGGGGCCGACATTCAGGAACAGTCGGAGGAAGGGTCATCAGAAGAAGAGGACGCTGATGCAGACCCAACCTACCTCGTCCCGCAAGGGCATGGGCGTTTTGCCCTTCGCTGGTCTAGGCTTGCCACCGCAGCCGACAACTTTGCCAAGGGCAACGTCCAGACAGAGAGCACAATCATTGCTAATTGGCTGATCTCAGGGTTAGAGAACGCGATGAACAGAATGCGTCCCGGCAAGAACTCACGAGACTGAGTGAGGATGAACTTTATCGTCATTACCATGGCTATTCAAACTGCCGGGAAGAAGACCGACCATGTGTGTAGCGAGAGGGAATGGCAGAAAATGAGCTACTGGCTCACAGGGGATCCTACCTTTATCAAGAAACTGGCAATTCACCGCCAGGAGCCAAATGACAAGACAGTAGGGGCCAAAGACGAAGGGACGGGTCGAAACAAATCTCGTCGGGTTGCTCCTCCCGCAGGTACAGGTAGCTCCTCCTCCACTGCCCGTCTTCCTTATCGGAACCGACCTCCCCCTCCGCCTCCACCTAGATAGTGGGGTCCACGGTAAAGAGATCGCAATGGCTGCACGCAGTGTGAACCCCGGCCTATGGCTCTCTTCTAACAGTGAAAGAGGAGAATGT